GCCCCACTTGTCAAATGGTAGGGTGGCGATGATTGTTTGTAGCGGGCTCGAGAGGAGCCTTTGCACATTGGCGAACTTCTGACACTTGTCGCACTTTTGTACTAATTTGGTCGCATCCTCCTAAGGGTAGGAAAATAAAACCCTGCCCTTAGTGCTTTGCCTGCTATGCATCGAGCCCCTTGATGACTTCCACAAGCTCCTTGGTGTATTTCTCGTAGAACATAATCTCCATCTTCTGGGGTGATGCACTTGAGGAGGGGATGAGTGTACGACTTCTTGTATAGGTTTCCTTCTTGCCAAACGAACCATTCTGCTCGTTTCTTAATTGTGTCGGCCTCTTTAGGATCTTCTGGGAGTTTGTTGTCTCGCATGTAGTGCACTATTTGATCCATCCAAGTATGTGATCGGTCCAAGTAGTGAACTGCAGGCGCATTGATGCTTGGCTGTTTGAGGATTTCCCATATTATAGAGCGAGGCCGAGCCCCTGGGCGAAACTAGCCATTCGCGCAAGGGCATCAGCCTGTTGGTTATCTGCCCTTGGAAGATGCTTGATTTAAAATTCGGACAACGGCGAAGCAGTTTCTTTGACCTTGTTGAGATACATGCGCATGCTATCTTCTTTGGCTTCGAATTCCCCTTGGACCTGGCTCACGATTAATTGGGAGTCAGAAAAGGCATGAACTGCCATGGCTCCCGCCACCTGGCACAACTCTAGCCCTAAGATGAGGGCTTCATATTCAGCTTCATTGTTTGAGGCGTTGAAGTCGAACTTGACTGCATACTCAAACTTCTTGCTGCTCGGTGACATGATCAAAATGCCGGTCCCGCTTCCTGCCTTGGAGGAGGATCCATCTACATATAACTGCCATGGTTTGGATCCATCATCATTAGGGCGATGAGTGCATTCGGCGATGAAGTCTGCTAGAGCTTGTGCTTTTATTGCCCTTCTAGGCTCATACTCAAGACCAAAGTCTGCCCAATCTGTCATTCTATTTGAGTGGTTTTTCCCTTCGATTGCCTTCTTTATAGGATGGCTATCAAAACTTTTATGGGGTGAGACTGAAAGTATGGCTTCAGCTTTCGGCTTGCCATGAATAGGGCGAACACCAACTTCTCAATTTGGGAATACTTTGACTCTGCTCCTCTATAAGCATGGTTGGCGAAATATACCGGGTGTTGTGATCTATCCCTCTCGGCAACCAACACTGCACTAGACGAGTATTCTAATATAGCCAAATATAAGAACAATATCTCCCCTGACAGAGGGGAAACTAACTTGGGAAGAGAGGCCAAGTGTTCTTTTAGCTGTTGGAAGGCGATTTCGGCTGCTGCGTCCCATTGGAACACTTTTCTCTTGAGTGTGTTGAAAAAGGATAAGCTCTTGTCTGCCGACTTTGAAAGAAACCTGCCCAAGGCGGCTATGCATCCGGTCAGCCTCTGCACCTCCTTTACACTTCTAGGGGTCTGCAAATCTAGGATGGCTCAGATTTTGTCGGGGTTAGCTTCAATGCCCCTCTCATCAACAAGGAAGCCAAGGCATTTGCCTCCCTTGACTCCAAACACACACTTTATGGGATTTAACTTCATCCCATATTTTCTCTATGTCGCAAGCGTTTCGACCAAGTCTGTGACATAATCCTTCTCATGGCGACTCTTTACTATCATGTCATCAACGTAAGCTTCGACGTTTCTCCCTAATTTCCCTTCAAAGATTTTGTTGATGAACCTCTGGTATGTGGCTCCAACATTTTTGAGGCCGAAAGGCATGGCCTTGTAACAATATACTCCTTGGTTAGTGATGAACGCGGTATGTGGCTGGTCCTCTTTAGCCATGGGGATTTGATGATATCCCGCGTTTGCATCCATGAAGCTGAATAGAGCATGTCCAGCCGTTGAATCCACAAGATTGTTTATCTTAGGGAGAGGATGGTCATCCTTGGGGCACGCCTTGTTTAAATCAGTGAAGTCGACGCACACGCCTTGTTTAAATCAGTGAAGTCGACGCACACGCCTTGTTTAAATCAGTGAAGTCGACGCACATTCTCCATGCCCCATAGGGTTTCTTGACCAACACAACATTTGCAAGCCAATTTGTATACTGGCATTCTTTAATGAACCCTGCTTCGAGTAGCTTCTTTAATTCTGCTGCAGCCGCTACGGTGTGCTCGGGGCCTTGATGCCTCAACTTTTGTTTAACAGGCTTGTAGCCTGGCTTGATGTTCAAGAGATGAGTCATAATGGCAGGGTCTATGCCGGGCATCTTGCCTACTGAGTAGGAAAAGACATCACAATGTGCCTTAAGCACATTGATTATTTGAGTGCGCAATGCAGCGTCGATATTTGTTCCGACCCGCACCGTTTCTTCTGCGATGCCAATGACTTCTTCCTTATCTTCTTCTATAGGCTGGGGTTTGTCTACCCCCCTAGATTCTTCAGTGAAAAGGACTGAGGGGTCGGTTACTTTGTTCTTCTTTGATGGTTCAGCGGGTGCTTCGAATGCTCGCTTCAAGCTATTGACGTAGCATTCTCTAGCGGATCCTTGGTCTCCATATACTTTCCCAACTGTTCCATCTTCAAGCTCGAATTGCATGCAGCTGATAGACTGATATGGCTGCCTTTACCTTGTTCAATAACGGTCGTCCGAGTATGACATTGTAGGGAAAGGGTGTGTCCACCACCAAAAAGTGGGTAATCACCAATCTACCCTTCCCTTTGGGACCAAGTCGAACTGGTAAACGGATTGTCCCTTTTGGAAAGACGGACTGTCCCCCAAAGCCGATTAAGGGTTTGTCTACGGGTGTTAGATCTTCTTCGTTGTATTTCAAACACCTCAAGCAATCAAGGGTGATGAGGTCTGCTGATGACCCGCTATCGACGAGCACTCGACTAACTCTGAAGTTGGCAATTTTCATCTCAATGACCAAGGGGTCGTCGTGAGGGACTTGCAAAGGGCGTTCTAACTTTCCACCGAACGTCATGATAGGCGAAGAGGGCGTTGAAACGGGTGTGACCTTGAGCACTTGATGTTGCAAGGTTCGTAGGTTGTCTTTTTCTTTGTTCATCGATCCTCCGAGTGCTAAGCCACTGGCAATGACGGCGACATGTCCACCGGTGTCGTCGCTGCGAGTATCTCTTGCCTTTTCCTTCTCCTTGTTCGAGCAGTCAGATTCTTTGCTGTCACTACGTGAAAAAACGAATTTGGCACCGGTTCAAACCTGGCCTAAGGCACCGGTTTGAACCGGTGCCAATGTGGGGGTGCCAAAAAGGGTATTAAAAAGGCACCGGTTCAAACCGGTGCCAAAACTTGAAATTGGCACCGGTTAACCGGTGCCAAAAAGTACAAAAAAATTTTATTTAACAGTTTTTGGCACCGGAAAAGTGCCAACATATTAAATTTTATTTATTTATTTTTACTTAAAAATTAAATCTGTATTAATATTAATATAATCAAATCTGTTCATTATAATATTAATATATATAATAAAAATAATTACAGTACAATCAAATCTTAATAATAACCAAAAGTGCCAAAATATTAATATAATCAAATCTGTTCAAAATAAATTACAACAGCTAAATCAAAATAAAAAAATTACAACAGCTAAATCAAAATAAAAAAATTACAACATATAAATAAAAAAAATTACAATATAAATAAAAATAAAAAAGAAAATCAGTTGATTCTTCGATTTAAGATCAATATACTTGCTTGTTGATTCTTCAATTTAAGAACTAAATCCATATACCTGCACCAATTAAAACAACCAAAATGAATTTATTAACATGAATCAGTTCAAAAACCCAGAAAATCGAAAAAAAGAAAATCGAAAAAAAGAAAAGAATAACCCAGAAAATGAAAATGAAAATCTGTTCAAAAAATAAAATGAAAAATGAAAATCAGTTCAAAAAAGAAAATGAATCGGAAAAAATAAAAAAATAAAAACCCAGAAAATCGAAAAAAAATCAGTTCAAAAATAAAAAAACCCAGAAAAACGGAAAAAAAAAAAGAAAATCAGTTCAAAAACCAAGAACATCAATTACAACCCAGAAAATAAAATCCAAAAAATCAATTAAAACCCAAAACATCAATTCAAACCCAGAAAATAAAATAAAAAATTGACAAAAAAAACCCAAAAATTAAAAAAAATTCGAATTAAAATAAGTTTAAAAATTGATTGACCAAACTAGAAAATCGAAAATCACTTTAAAAAAACAAATTTAAATCGATTAAAATAAAAAATTAATTGATTAAAATAAAATAAAATTCGAAAATCAGATAACAACCCAGAAAAAAAAAATCGAATTAAAATCAAGAAATTATACCCTAACCTTGCTCATGCATGTGTTCGTGGTAGATTAAACAATTTTTTTTTAAAGAAACCCATAAAAAATTTCGAAGACACTCATCAAATCAATTAAACCCAAAATCAACTTCGAACAAACCCAAATCAACTTGATGTTATGGTGGTGGCGGCGGCTTTGCGGTGTTGTTGTTGCATGTTGTTGTTGTTGCGGTGGTGTTCAAAGAGAAAGAGAAGAGATTAAGGGAGAGCATAGGAGAGATAGAGAAGGTGTTGTTGCGGTGGTGTTCGAAGAGAAAGAGAAGAGATTAAGGGAGAGCAGAGGAGTGATCGAGAAGGGAGAGCAGAGGAGAGAGAAGGGAGTAAAGAGGCGGAGTGAGAGGAGAGATAAGGAGATCAGTCTTTTAGGGTTATAAAATGAGAGGAGGCGGCCAGTTTTTTTTTTTTAAATAATTAAAGGTCCGGTTCACAAAGGCACCGGTTCAAACCGGTGTCCTTTATGATTTTGGCACCGGTTTGAAGTGAACCAGTGCCTTTTACTCTGGTTTAGCTTCCCCCTAATTTTGTAGGCCATTTTTGGCACCGGTTTGGACTGAACCGATGCCAATTAGGGGGTGCCTTTCTGATATTTTCTACTAGTGTGTTATGTTTTCCTTCGTCAGCATGTTGATTAAGGGCTTTCTTTAACTCCCTACAATTCTATGTGGTATGCCCGCATTCGCGATTAAACTCGCACCAATGTCTCTTGTCCCTCTTCTCCTCGGGGGTCCGAACTACAGGAGGCCTTGGCAACATATTTTTCTCTTTAATGTCCAAATAGATTTGTCGACGATTACGGTTGTATCGAGGGTCGTTACCATGATTTGTGATCAGGTTGGACCGTTTGGATGGTTGGCTCCTTGAAGGTTCATTCTCATGTTTCCTTTTTTTCTTTGGTGGATTATTTTCACGGCTTGTGCCACAAACTTCTGGGGCTTGTATATTCTTATGGGCCCGCTCCATGGCTTCAGTGAGGGTTGAAACCCCTGACTCGATCAGCTTAAATTTGAAGTCCGAGGAACTCAGCCCGACCAAAAAGGCTGTTAGGGCTGTCTCATCTGGTAAGTTCTGAATTTTCAAATATTCTTGATTGAACCTTCGAATGTAGTTCTGCAAGGTCTCCGTCTTCCCTTGTGTCACAGCCATCAGATTGACACTTGTTTTTTTCTTACTTGCTGCGTGCTTGAAACGACTAACAAACACACGTTCCAAGTTTTGGTAGCTATGGATACTACCTTTAGGCACACACTTTTGGAACCACAACAAGGCTTGTCCCTTTAGAGTAGTGGGAAAATACTTACACAATGTGGCCTCGCAACTTGTTTGCACACTCATTTGCGCGGCATATGCAGCTAAGTGCTCATCAGGATTGGTAGTTCCAGCGAAAGGCTCTATGGTAGGCATCTTGACCTTGTCTACCTTTGGGGCATTCATTAGCTCCTAGCTCAATGGAGTTAGCGGCGTGGAAAAATATGATGGCAACCGTGGTGGCTGCTCATCTTGGTCTCGAGTTCTTTCTTCTTCCCGAGATCTATTGCTTGTATGACGAGATATGGGATCTCGCTCAGATCTTTACTGCTTTAGAGGATCTTCTGATTCTCCTACATCCTCCCGACGAGAAGGTGATCGCTGATCAGGCGATCTCGGACTCCGGCTTTGCCTACAACTCTGTGCCCTATTCTCATCGTTATCACGTGCTTGGCGTTGCTCGATTATCCTACGTCTGTTAATGAGTTCTCGGGCATCCATCTCGTGTCGTTGTAAGCGCATCTCATCAATGAGTCATCTAGCATCCGGGTCTCTAACCTGATTTGCTGGTTCACCCTCCCTCAGGCGTCAGCTTGCGGTAGAGTGCCGGCTGGATTCTATGCGGACCGGTGATATGACAAGCTGATCACGAGGAGATCGTCGACGGTTTCCAGATCTACTAAGGGCGGACCTAGTAGTACCGATGGGCTGTGCCTTACGGCTTTGTCCGCTTCGTCGGGGAACATTGTGGGGCTGTGCCCTTGTAGACACCCATTTGTGTCTCCCCAAAACCAAACCCAGTGATGAGTACCTTTCACGTCGAATCATAATCGAATGAAGTGAAAGTGTGGAAAGTTTAGTGTGGCGGATAGTTTTAATTTCTTTTCTCTTCTCTCTGTTTTTGAAAACTTATTTTAAGAAAACAGCCAATCCAGTTTGGTTGGTCCATGATATGGGTCCAATAGTAGTGCAGTTGGATGGGGCTTGGCAAGAGCTTTCCAACGATATATTATAAGCCCAATTCCGATGAATATTGAGAAAGTTATGGCCAATTTACTAAACTAGGCCCGGTTTGAGCGTTATATGCGGCCCAATGATCTAGGGGAGGGCCTAATATAAATTTATCATTCCTAATGTAATTAGGAATGGCTTTAGTCTTCTAGATTCTTCTAGAAGATTCTTTTCATTCCTAATTCAATCAGCATTGATAAATTGACTTTTGTTGACTTTTCAGAGTTTTAATTAAAATCAAAGAGTATTTTTGAGGGAAATACGATTTTATCCTCCTGTACGGCAATTTTTATCTGATTTTAAGAAAACGCGTGAATTTCCAGGTCAGCGCCAAACGCTAGTTGTAGCGCCTGACGCTAACCTTGGCGCCTGGCGCCAGGGTAAGCGTCTGGCGCCAATAGCCAGCGTTGGCGCCAACCTTGTTTCATGTGCGCCAGACTCTGTTTTGATATTTTATCTTTTTAGCTGATTTTCTTTATAAATATTGTCGTAAAAACTGCGTGTTCATTGACCTACAACCAATTTTCATTCTCTTCTACAATTTACTCTCTCTCTCTTTTCTAAACTAGCTTTTTACATACAAAATTCCGCATTCATTAGATCTAGAAACACCTAGCCATATTCGAAGTTGCCTTCGCCCTAGATGTGAAAGGTTTAATTTATGAGGGTTTGGTCTCAAATCTCTATTTCCATTATTTAATTTGATTGTTTGTTTATTATTTTCCTTGAAGTTACTAACGTGTGTATTTTGTTATTAGAAAGAGGTACGAGGCATCAAAGTAAGTACTTTAATGGTTTTTATTGATGTTATTATGTAGAGTTCATGTTTAGGTTGTTATTTTGATATTCCTAGTATTATGTCTAGGGTAACTTTAATATCAAATATGATTATTATGATGCTTCCTATGTTCTTCCTAATATTTATGATTGTTAGTATCATGTTAGGACTAAAGCTTTGATTTTTATTGTTTAGTGACATGCTAGGGTTTGTTATTAATCTTGTTAGTATCATGCCTAGGATCTTGCTATGCTTTAACATGATTATTATTATGATTAATATGATTGTTATTATGATTATTGTTTTGATCATTATTATGATTAATTATAATTTATAATTGTTATGCTTTAACGTGCTTATGATTATTTTTATGATTTATGATTATAATTGTTATAATTATTGTTATGATGATTATTTTTATTTATGATTGTTATGCTTATAATTTTATTATTTTTATTATTATGTAGCTTGATACTTATTGTTATTACTTGTTCACACCTTTTTCTGCATGTTTAAAGGGAATTTGTACTTGTAATCACGCTGAATAAGATAATTAATAATCTTGTTTAGGGTTAATATGATAATAATTCAAGTGATCGCCAATAATAGATTTATTTGTGCATTAAATTCGACCAACATAGATAAACAGGTTTAGGGTTAATTCTATTGATTGCATGTTAGTCAGAAAGCGCACATGAATACAATCATAATAAAGTAGAGGCCTATTATTAGGGCAGGTTCAATCTCTTTTAGGTTGGATTTGTACCTTCATCCCCGAACCCTTATTTGGTTCAAGACCTTATGGAGTTGACGATCTCCTGGATCGTTAAGGGGTGTAACCTTCACCTTGTGAACGGTTTACAAGTTCCTAAAACTTGTTGGCGACTTTTTTGCGCTATCTTCTTTCCCTTTGGACGCCACTGTACTTTAGTGTATGATCACAGTGGGGTTCAAGCTAGGGGATTAACGCTTGAAATTATTCCCTACAACCCTTTGATTGTTTCGCGACGCTTGGCGTCCCAGGTCTTGCGGTGGCCGGTAAGTGGGACCAGCTTGGTTGTTTTTCACAGCTTCAGTCAGTTGTCTGAGGGTGTCCTGGAGAGTTGTGTTGAATTGCTCGGTCAGCTTTTCTAGATCTTTGACAGGGTAAAGTCGTATCCCCTAATCAAAAGTAAATACCTAAATCCTCTAACTACAGTAGATAGGGAAGTAGGGTCGATCTCCACAGGGAAACAATTCTTTTTACTCCTAATTAATTATTATAATATAAATTATAAAGTAACCAATATATTGTAATTAAAGGAAACTAAACTACGAAGATTAAGAGTAGGGAGAAAACAATGAATAAAAGGATCTAGGGCATAGGTTCACTAATAAATAATACTCCAGGGTAAAACATAGTAATCAATCATTGACATTGCATAAATAACACGATTAACAGGCTCTCGCAATTTATTAATCAACATAGATCTAACAGGCTCTCGTAATTTACTAGATCTAAGTTCTTATTGAAAATAGCCTTTAATATCAAATTAACATCTGCTCGATTCATCAATTTAATATTGCTATACTTTTACAAGCCTCAATTGTAAAACGTGAAAACAATTCAATAAGAAATTATCATGCAATACCAATAATCAATAATAGTCAATCATCAATGCATCAATCAACCAGATTGTAAAGGGCTTTCGCTACGTATTACAATCACATAATTAATTTACCGGTATTAAATCTCATCTATCGAATCTCGACTTAACCATTTATAAATTAATCTGCCTATTGAAACTAGACCTAAACATCAATTCTCGTCTGTTGAATCTCGAATCAATATTGTTAAACTCATGCCTAAAAGATTTGCGCAAATCTAGTCACAGAGCATTAAATCAATCAATAGGAAATTAATCTAGCATTGATAATTAACAACAATAAATTACCCCTTCATATTATTTATGGATCCCCATGAACCCTAGAAATAAAACTACTCACACATAATTAAATCTAAACTAATCAAAGCAACAAAATAAGTCATGATGAAGGGAAATAAGATTAAGAGAAGAGAAATCGTTACCAAACTAATCTGTATTAATGAAAATAATCAAGAACAAGAGTTGAGAGAAGAGTTAAGAGAGAAAAGATCCTAATTAGAGAGAGAAAGTCTAAGAAAGAAGGTCCCCTAGTAATTCCGTACAAAATCGTATTTAAACGTTTTGTAAAACAAGAATTAAAACTAAACATCATCAGGTCTTCTAAAAACTCGAGCTCGATCGGGCGAAGGGCCGCCCGATCGGGCGCGCCTTTTTCATCTCGTTCTTCCCAAGCAGCATCGCCTGATCGTGCTAGATGCTCGCACGATCGGGCGCGCCTTAGCATGCACAACACTATGGTTTGCCGCGCCCGATCGGGCTAGAGGTTGCCCGATCGGGTCTTTGCTCCTCTTGAGGCTTGGACTTCGTCTGGGCTAGATTTCTTGGCCCAATCCGGATTTCCTCTCGGGTCTCGAATACTTGGTCTAAATGCCTTGGGAGCCCAATTACCAAGCCCTTATTCACCGGCTCTCACCGATCCTGGGCTCCAAAAGTGGTCGTGTCCTTCTAGCTTCCGTAGTTAATCCATAAAGCCCGGGAAAATGCTCCAAGAGTGCAATTTCCTATAAAATACAACTAAAACTACAAAAACACTAAAAACACAAAAAATTAGTAATAAAAATGGCCCGAAAGAGCCAAAAACACTACTAATAACGACCAAGGGACGGGGGTAAAACACTATATAAAATGGACATATCAAACTCCCCCAAGCCAAACCTTTGCTTGTCCCTAAGCAAAGAGCTCATCAATGAACATATAAAACATACTTCACCCCAATCATCAAATAAAAAACCAACGATTCAAGGCAAATCTAATGAACATGATTCAACATCAATCAATCTTATTCATCTAATCACCCTTCCTCCCCAACAATTGTCAAGTAGAGCAAGCCACAAGAGCATATAGAATTCAAGACTAGTGCTCACACACTCAACTCTCATTTATGTGGCGAGTAAAAGATGAACTCGATCGCTCTCCAACCAACCCCTTTAATGTGTACAATGCCCTCCCAACTCACACTCTCGTGTATATAAAAACATTAAACGCTCATCCTACTAGTCGACTCGAAATATGCCAAGTCATAACTTGCATTGATAAACAACACTTTCACATTCATACAACTCTATGAACAAAGGTCAAAAGGTCTTTAAAGCTTGTAACGTAAGGCTAGGGTAAAGGTAGGATAAATTTGGGAGTATGTGAGAGAAAAGCTATGCATTAAGGGAGCCAAATCCTTTCAAAACCCATGATCAAAATAAATGATGATCATACATCTCCGGCCATCAACATAACTAACTCCAACAAGAATCAAA